GGCATTACTCACACTTGCGGAAACGTAAGAGTCTTATGTCTGCCTCATTAATCAACAGGCTCCCTTATTAAGTTTAACCTCCCGGTAACGAGGATCCGACGAAGACGGATTTTCCTGACCTTTCGTTCGTTTTAAGCCGTCTCTCTGTGAGGGGCAGAACTTAGGAGGATCTCAGTCCTTTTGAAGGAGACAGTTTGGCGACAGTTAGTCATCCCTTGTGGATCTTTGATGAGATGCTTCTCTGAACTCTGGAATAAATTGTTTATCATAGAGTTCCTCTAGCCGAGGACCACATTCAGATCTGAATGACTCTCATTCTTGTGGAGCTGTCTTAAAATGACAAAGGCAGCCCTCAAGCCTTCTGATATAATTTTAAAGTTGACCTGAATGGCACAGTGATAGATCAAGGGTTTACAGTATGGTAGAATATTCATCTTTTGGGTCAGCAAAAGGTCAAATAAATGTGCTTGAGGGTTTTTATCAGCAGGGTATTCAAGGCCATGTCTAAGATAAAATGGAAGGGACATTACCGGTGTATTGATTATTTTTTGTCAAATGAACCTATTGTTTTAACTAGCATCTGCAAGTCCGATTGAATTTCATAGTACTTGTATGAGGAGATCATCTTTTACTCTCTTCCAAAAGAAGGTAATATTTTACAACAGGAATGTATTCAGCACCAAGGACAGATATCGATTATAGATAGATAGGTTTTACCTTTGTACAGCTGCAATGGTGTTGTTTGAAAACAAGCATTTAAAATGTATGTCAAATAATATTCAATCATGTAGCCACCATGTTTTATTAAACTTTCAACTTCTATCACCTATGTTGGTATTAACTTGTCAGTATGAAAAGCTACAATCTGTATTATACTCAACCTTCAGAAAATGTTCATTGATACATGTGTAGTTGTTACAGCTACTGAAATCTCATGGTGTCCTACCACTATCATTACTGTAGCAACACAAGTATGTATGTAACTTTACTTCTAGTAAATTCACAATGAATATACATGTTCTCATGCAGATTTTGTGGCGTCTGTGTGGTGTATTGGATAGAACATCTGACTGTCCCAGATTCAATCCCCGGGGCTGGACCCAGACATGTCTGGACATGCACCCAGACGTTGTGCCCTTGGGAAAGGCACTTAACACGTATTTCCCCCCTCAGTTAGAGGGTTCCTGGGCCCTACTAGGGTTTGGGTTGGTGTTAGGAAGAGCATCCAGCCGTAAAAATCTTGCTTCAACAAAAAGACTTTGTGCAAGCACGTCTAACCCCTGGTTTGGGGAAAAATGACGTTAAAATGGTAAAAAAAATGTTCATGTACATGTATCTCTGTGTGTGTGTAGAGAAATGTGCCTGAGCTGAAATCATTGTAATTTGGCCCCTGCCGGTTAGTGTACCATGTCTGGCTAAAACTGACCTCCTTGTGGAAACCTGTCAATACCAGGGATACGCTACATTTGTCACTCAGGCCAGCCAACAGTCACAATGCCTTGTTCCTTGTTTCATGCTGACTTATGGAAGGTCAAAGTGCATCTGTCAAGAAATGCTCGAGTCAGCCATTGAAATACTTAATAATAGTCACATGTATGTTTTACAAAATCAAATGTTTTTGTGTGTGATATAAAATCTTTAAGACTATACATTAGCCAACAATATAAAACAAACTTCAAAAGATTTTCTATTTTGTACTTATGGACAAAGCTATCTGATATTCAGCCATATGAAACTGCTACCTGTGCCTGAGGATCAAAATATAATCATGTAGTACATTGCTCATAGCATATAGAATGAACCTATTACACAGTGTCCTTATTTAGCTTTTACATGATGAATGCCACTTTGTGATATCAACATACCTTTGCAATAATATTAACTTTTGATGAATTAAGGCTAGAAAACCCCTTTCTGATTGAAATTGCTCCAAGCATATCGTATACCCATTAAGTGAAATGATTATGTTTCACAATAACTGAAGATGTTATCCTGTTTATTGCAGAGTGCCTTGGGTAAGACTGGTTATTTTTCATTGACCAATGCCATTTGTAGGAACTTGATCAACCTTCAGAATAAGCCATAGTTTATTGTAATTGATAACATGAGACGACAAAGCTGCATGCCCATGTAAGAGTTTCGTGCATGGCTTGGGGCCAAGGATTTGGATGGATGGTTGCCTGAGATAAAACGTTCCCAAACAGAACATTCTTCAATTTACATTTATGGAGAAGAGTGGGTGTGCTTGGCAGAAAGTTCAACCTTTAGGGAAGCCGCATTGCTCCTTTACTAGCTGCTTGGAAAAGCATCATACCCCACCTTATTTGGGGATGACTGCTCTACCTTTTTCCTTCACCAGACATCCATGATTTCTGTCTACCTGAACAAGATGAACAGAAATGCAAAGTTTAACACATATTTCTGTTTTTCTGTATCTGTATAGCCGGTATAACTGCCTTTCGGTGTAACACACCAGCTTCGCAGGCACGTGGCGCGGCAGCAGCTGACTATATTACACCGATCGACTCGTTACACCTAACCCTTGAACTTCTAACTCTAGACATTGTTTAAAGCTATCTAATGATATCTCATATATGTATTCAGACACCCACCCTCACCACGATTTGTTTTCCTAGTCATACCTGTGTGTGCTTTCATTGAGAAGTCAAGGCTACCAAATGTGTCATTGCCCTCGCAATATCCTTACACTCGCAATTTCTATCACCGCATTCCCCCCGGGAATTCCCCCCATTCCACGTTGGAAGGCACAATCTGGCTGGAATTCCTGCTCGGGAACAGCCAGATTCCATTGATCTGCGTTAGCTCATCATGAACCTGGTACAGCAATTGATCCATGCTGATGAGAGCGTACAGGTAGAAATGGTCTTCCAGACTGTCTTCCAGAGCGCACTTAATATTTTACGCTCCCGAACATTATAGTTCCAGAGTAGGATGGAAAGGTTGTGCGTTACGGCGGGAATAAAGCACAGATTGGTGTCCTCGGTGGGCGGGGCAGCCGGTGCGTAATGGATGATTCCACGCTGATAACGTCTCGGAAATTGGCCATTAATTATCGATGCAGTTTCCTTGCAGAAATTGTTTTTCTATTGATCTGGGGAAGGCTGTTACTACAAAGTGTCAAGCCAGACGGAGTGGCAACGACCAATCATGCCAACAAGCCAGGCTCCAGACAACAATGGGAGATAACTAGGTGGACATCAAGAAATCATCCGAGGCAATTATGTCATAAAGTCGCACTTTATATCCTAACTTTGGCAGGAATCTACCAAAATCCATAAAAGGGGTGTTAGTGTTGTTACATGTACATGTGTATACCATTGTAACTGTGTACCCTCCAACCTACCAAAACAAATCTATTTTTTCTATATTGATGTTAGATACATACATAAGATTGCAGTTGACAAATACAGCTTATGAATATGTTACTCTCTCTATTGATTTTCTTAACATTTCTACACACCACGTACGCTGTGTGGTACAAACTATGTAACATTTTGTTGTTACCAAGTTACCAAGGACATACACAGTACACTGCTGAAGGGTGCTGCATTCACCTGATTAAGTCTTGATTGGGTTGTTTCGCTTTAGAAGCAAACTCATCATTGCATTTACCATATCTTCTGAATAGATATGATATAGAAACCTACATTCTGGACAGCTCTCGTTATCTATGCCAGGCAATAGGACGGGCTACCTTGAACCTTAGATGGCCTTTCGTTTCCGCCAATGCCTGGGGCCTTTGTGCAGGAATATATACAGCCCATTCAAATGCAAAGAAATTTCTTCCCTTGCAGGAGTTGAACCCATGAACTCTCAATCCAAAGCACCAAATGTGTACTTTGTCTTCAGATTGAATAGGAATGTCAGTATCGATCCAAAACATCGGGTCCTAGGTAACCTTTGCGCAATAAAAACGTCCCTCTAGATGTGCTGCTGCTAGTCTCTGTGCTTCATTTGTCTCAGGTGGAACCATTCAGTACTGGATATTAAGTTAGCATGATGTACATTTGCTTTTCCAGGGTTCATGGCTAAACTTCCTTTGGGAAATCTTGATTGATGAATAAGAGACTATTGTACTTTAAGGTGCCTTACATTTACGTTAAAAAAAGGTACTGTATTTAATAATCATTCCTTGGTACATGTGTATGTCAAAAAACAGTTACTCAAGCAACTGGATATGTTTTTGGAAATGGTCAGGCGTTTCAGGTAGCATGCACTACTTTTCGTCAGTGACACTGGCGAAGTGGAGGCTACCTGAATATGGTTTTTTGGCATATCTTATTACCTGGATGTCTAACCTTCACTGACATATTCCTTGGTATGTTTGACATACATTAGTGCTCTCAGTGGTGCTGAAATATTTGCTGTTATACTGTGGCTCACTTTTAACCTTCCCATCGCTTTGGGCTACATTCTGCTAAACCTTTCTTTATTCATAATTCAGCAAGGGGGTTACTTTAACTGCTTTCCATGGTAAAGCTGGTAGTTGTCACTAATGGGCCATGCATATCCTAGGATGCTCAAATGTATAGGCTGTTGTAGCATTATTTCCAACCTTCTACACTGTATCATGGTGCTCTCAGTTCATTTAGTGATGCTGAAAAAGAGTGACAGATGTCACTCGAAACGTCCAGAAGTTATCTCTGTTATTTGTCCAGTTGCAGAGTTTGATTTGTCTTTGAATACTAGTATTGTTTACCTAGAGGTCTAACCTCTATCAATGTATCACAGTGTAATATAGCCAGCTGCCGTCGCGCCGCATGCCTGCAAAGCTGGTGTGTTATGCCAAAAGGCAGCTATACCGGCTGTACAGATACAGATACAGTTTGTTTGGTATGTGAAAATGTGCACAATTTGCTCAAGATAAAGCAAGTGTTAGGCAGTTATGTTCAGTAAGCATACTTTAAAATTAGTGTTACATGCATCTTGTACTTTGTTTTACCGGTATTCTAATGATGTCCTCTCCTGTGTTTCTGCAGACCCTGGTGTGTGATGTAAATGCAATCACTAATGATGGCGAGCACAGATGGACACAGGTACAGTACTGCAACTCACGTCTGTTTCCTAATTTTAACTGTTCCTTAGACCACACCAATTTGATTTGTTGGCTCTTGGATTTTTTTCTGAAAAAATATGAAGCGACGGTGAAAAAATACAACAGACCTAGGCCTCCTATGATATCCCTAAATTCTATGATACATGTAGGAGCCATGAAGTCAACATACCAGACAATGAATTTCAAACTCTTAATCAAACCACAGCATTGATAGATGGAAAAACTATATCAACTCTGAAGAGAAGGGACTTTGCTGTTGGGACCAAAATATGAGCATTTTGGAGTTGATTCAGAGGCTGAAATGTTTCTTTCTTTTGCAAATCAGAAAAAAATGAAGTGGTGAATCCGTGAACCAACAAATTAGATTTGCGTGGCCTTACAATAAGCTGATTCACATTTCAAACTGCATAGGCCTCAGTTCAAAGGTGAAAGCTTGATACATGTCATATTATATGTTTTAGTTATGTCCCAGGGGCCTTCAACTTCGACATAATACCCATCATCATGCTGCCCATGCACAGTTTAAACCTTGAACCAGCTTATACAGGATTAGCTGGGTGAAACCAGGGATGAAACTTTGAGGTATCTGTGCATATTGAATAAATGCATCATACCTTGGGTATTGGGGCAGGTAGAATGACAGCGTAAGCTTTAAACCCCTCCAGACACACTTGGCCTGAAAGCCTAGTAATTGCTTGGAAAGACTCCAAGTACTACAAAGAGATACATGGCTCGGTGATGGACACAACCGTGACAGGTTAAACCCTGGAATTGAAAGTGTGTCCCGATGGTAATGAGTATTGACAGTCTGGTATGGCCATTGAATAACCTTGGATGAATGCTCTATGCCACCGTGGTTTTTATTCCTGGAAATTTAGCGTCGTAAAATGTTTTACTGTAAATCTCTACAGCAGGCAATCCAGGCAAGAATGGGAAATATATAAAGACAATCCTTCTTGATTTTGTAGGGTGCCCTTTTTCTCAAGCTGTAGAATTGTTACATAAACTGTAATATTGATTATGTTGTCCTCTGTATCTGTATCAGTATAGTCGGTATAACCGCCCTTCGACGTAACACCAGCTTCGTCCTATATTTTTGATATTTTTATGTATTTTGGTAGTCATTTATACTCAGAATGGACATGTGCATAATTAATTGAAAACCTACAATTATTCAGTAGTGCCAAGTTGTAAATTATGAGTGCAAAAAGACTTTTAATCTCTCTAAACTGTTCAAGCAGGTTGCATTATGGTCATTTCATCCTGTAACTAATTCCTTTCAAAAGGTCCTGAGTACAAAAACACTGTCAACTTCCAGCAGTCAGACCAGTTCACAGCTGTCCAGTTCAATCTCATGTGTGGACCTTACAGATGAACTTAAATCTTGTTCAGCTCAGATGGGCGCAAAATGAGCGGTGCAGGGCAAATGAACTGCAACATTTGGCGAGAATGACCCAAAATGAGTTCCAGTCAACCCAGTCTCCTTTGGGAAATCACAGCTCTAGTTGGGTGTCCAGCTTTTCATTTTGTTACACGTTAAAGCATTTAGGATGTACAGTTGAAGCTTTTTCCATCCTAATAATGTCTCACAGAAATAACCGGCTTGGATTCAACGAAAACAGTTTTTTTTGTATTGTTAATGACCTTTTACGTTGTATCTGTAGAGATTGGCAGTCATTTTCAGTCGTAAGAGCTATAATCAGTGGTGCTTTATGTTGTATGGAAGGTGTGCAAGTAATTAGAGCTCTGTCATTTTTCCTGTTAAAAACAAGATAACGTTGCAGAGTTATCAGATGGAAATACAAAGAGCTTCATCATTGGAAAACATGGCACATTCTTTTCTGACCTCACTTGCTAGACTCTCTGACTACATCGCAGCTTTGAAGGATTCCAGGCCAATTTCTACTTATCAAAAGATGGTGCTTTAGTTTAGGAAGGAGATTTCCATTCTTTAGTTTGGAAGACACTTTTGTCTCTCAGTTTAAAACTTCTTTAGTGCAAAAGTAATACATTTAGAAACGCACATTCACAGTGCCATTCATTTGTGGTGGAGAGGTCACTGTGCAAAAATAAAAATACAGTAGTCAATATGCCTGACCTGTCTTGTTTCATTTTGAGGCGGCCACCTCCAACTACATGTAGCTGAAGATTCTGCTGCCTTTTTGTGGCTAATACGAGATGGGGTTACCAGGCCTCCATCCAGGAAAGTCATGTAAAGTGCCTTTCCCAAGGGCACAAGATCAGTAACATGGCAGGATTTGAACCCAGGACCTCTTCCGAGCTAAACACTCTGCCGTTGCGCCACTCAGCCCCACAGGTTTACTTATCAATACCAAAGAAGTACATAATTATATCTTTGTTTGTTTGAGACCACCTTGCCACCTTGGCTAAGGTTGAGTTGTTGCTTACAGTTACATGACACCGTTGTGGGATCGACAACAACGGCCTGCAGACCTACAAAGTCAGAGTCCACTGACATCTCCTTCACTGTAATTCAGAACACTTGGCAGCTGTGAGCCATTGATTGCCCACTAAACTGTATTCTTACCATGTGTATGTACAATCAGTGGGTATTGCTCACTATAGCACATTATATAAAAAAAAACATGACATTTTCCAGGACGACAAACATGAGTTGGAGAAGCAGCTGGTCCTGGCCACCGCCGAGCCGCTCTGTCTGGACCCGTCTCCCGTAGTGGCCGTCGTCAGCAACAGGATCCAACATCACAGGCTCAAGTTCTCCACCAAACCTCTCAAGAGGTCAGTGTTTTTTAATTTTATTTTATTCTCAGATATTTATTGAGTATTGGACAAAAAGCACAAGTTGCTTAATATACAAATGTATAACACCTTCTACTCAAAAACATACAACGAGTATAAAACACATTTTTTTAACGTTTGTTTAAAGAAATACATACAAAATAAAGAAATAGGAGAAAAGAAAATAAGAAAAACAAGAAAAACAAGAAAAAAATAAGAAAAACAAGAAAAAGAAGATAAGAAATACAAATAAAACATACAAAACATACAAAACCTTCGCACATATATGAAGGGTTGTTAAGTGTGACATATTACAAAGAATGTTTGTGTCGAGGCTTATGTACACTTAGGAGAATAGTGTATGACAGAAATATGGTTTGTTGTTCATCAATACACTCTTGAAGAAAGCATATTTTGCATAAAGTAAACAGTGATTCAAGTATGTGGTCTTTTCCTGCTTTTCGAGAGGTCAGTATGCCATCACCTGCTCAGAGTGGTGTTCACTTTCAGAAGGTACAGAATAGAGAAGGTCCAGGCCATTAGCAAGAAACACAGTCACTCTTCCCCACTCCCTTTGTGATGAAAACTTTTTAGGACACATTACATAAACCACCATTAAAGTGGCCTGGTTTCCAAACCTACATTAGCTGCTGAGTCTCTTTTGTGCCACCATTAAAGTGTGTTGAGTGTGTTGACTGAGATGTATTTTGAAATCTTTGTGAGTTTGTGTGTGTGTGCGCGTGTGTGTGTGCATGCAAGTGTGTGTGTGTGTGTGTGTGTGTGTGTGTGTGTGTGTGTGTGCGTGCACGTGTGTGTCTGGCTGTGAAAGTGAATACAGAAGAAAAGACACTGACTGTGTAGTACATGTATGCAAGGAAATTTGATCATGTTCAGGGTCTTCACCAAACAAGAGACAATGTAATTCTGTCTACTTTTAGGAACAGGATTCAGGATATCTATGTATCATTAAGACCATGAACTGCTTTCCTTCTACCTGTACATCTTGTACGTCTACAGCTACAAGACAGTATAAGATCTTTATATTGCTATACCATGATGATAGGTGCTATTCTCTTTCTATGGCATCCTGAGAGGTCAATCATGGGCAGTCAATCTCCCGGCCGGATAGTCCCCGACTTCTAACCCATAACGTGCAAAGGTCAGGCTATAGGCTCCATGCATCATCTCCCAGAAAATTATTATAAATAGCGCCGGGCAGGCAAGCAGAAAACAATTCTGTTCACGAGCACGTCTTGACCCAAATATCGTAATACACGCATTGATTTTCTGTTGGTGGAGAATGACGGATTCAGCGTTCTACCGTCCACAAGGAAATTCCCCATACTTTGACCCTTACTAAGACTCGTTAGGCCACACCAATTTAATTTCTTGGTTAACGGATTTTTCTAGAAAAATAATGGAGCGGGCGAAAAAAAAAAAACAAGGCCTAGGCATCCTATTATGGCCCAAAATGGTACGATAGGAGCCATGAAGTCAACACACCAGGCTGGTTCAAAATTTAAACAATGAATTTTGAACTTTTAAAGATACCATTGCATTGAAAGATGGAATAACTGTAACAACTTGGAAGAAAAGGACTGTTTTCAGCTGTTCAGGGCAAAATATGAGCATTTTGCAGTTGATTCTAAATTTTTTTGGGGCAAATCAGAAAAAAATGAAGCAGGCGAATCTGTTAACCAACAAATAAAATTGGTGTGGCCTTACTAAGACTCGTTACATGTGGAAAGCTCTCATGGAATAACGTTGGGTGGATTATTGTTCCCCAGTTGGTAGTCAGGAGCGCAATTGTGGCGGCAATAGCCGCCATTAGTCTCCACTGCAGCTGTGTAACATGAAGCAATTTTGGCATATTACATGTATCGGGCGGACATTTGTCTTTTTGGATGGATGCATTATGTACCTGTGCTGTTCAAGATAGTCTATTATACTTAGTCTTCCTTTAGTTGTTGATTGCTGTTTTGTGATGCTAATATCCAGGGCAAAATTACGGAAATTTAGTCTATATGAATGTGTATAAATAATTGGAAATATAGTGCAAAATTGCAGTTTGCAATTGGAACTTCTTTTCTCTAACAAAGACCATATACAGGCTTGGGTGATAATGGCTTTACATGTGGAAGATACATTATGATTGACTATTTTCCTATTCTTGGAACTCATACAATACGTGTATTTATGTCATACCTGGGCCTCAATATCGCTTGATACGGGTGTTCCGGACCAGGCTGTACTTTACGGCGATCCGACGCGTGGTCGGGCTGATACCTTGGGCAATACAGAATGCCCTGTGTAGTATTCTGTACCATTTTTTAAGTCTTTTATATGACTTGATCAGGAAATTGAACCTTCAACCTACCTAATGCAAAGCCACCCACAAGGCTATTGCTGTGGTGATTTTATCCCCAAAATAATTTCCGCATTGCCCATTGATGCTCATCGGAACAGAAACTGATAGCCTGAACTCTCTCTCTGATGTTCCGAATAAACGGGAAATTGGAGATCGTGATAACCAGAGCCTTGTTTGTAACTAAATTGCCTTTTATCTAACTGACTAGTGATTGATTCTGCCGTAGCGGATACAAGACAGCTTACCTGGGCACCCGGTCCTGAATGAAATTTCATACCCAACTCTTAGGCTTAGGAAAAAAATGTTTCCTGTTTCCCGACCGACCCTAGAAAAAGCTGCCGACCCTAGGCTCCTTTTGGGTGGACCCGTGCAAGGGACATTAATTTTTTGAACTGATCAACCTTTTCGTGCTCCATACTCTGACATGTGAGTGGTAAAACGTTGTACAATTGGTTTTCCAACTCACAATAAAAATATATAAGTGTACATAAATGAAAATATATAAAAGTGTCCTCGTGCAAGTTTTACTTTGTTAAACGGTATTGTATAAGTTCAATCACTAGAGATTGCCAAAGTCTAATAAAAAAAGAAAGGAAAAAAAAGATAAACCCTACCACAGTGTACCAACCCTAATCTTTTTCAGGACTGAAACAGGAAACACAACATTTTTTTTCCTATGCCTTATTACTTCAAAACATGTTAGAGAGCTGTGATGCTGCATCTGGTTAAACATGTCGTAATTAATGCTGTACATGTGCTGATTATCATCTGCAATATGCTGCTCCACTCAGTCTTAGCTATCAATTTGAAACCCGATCAAAATGTGTCATAATTATAGGAAATATGTGGGAAGTTAATGTTAAGCAATAAGAATACAATTATTGGCTAAATCACATTTGTGTAAATCTGCTAACTTTCCAGAACTAATGAAAGAATTACAATGTATATTAATAATAAATACATGTATGTGCTACCAACTTATTTAAAACTCGATTAACACCATGTTGTAAACAACAATGATAATATTGTATATTACTCTTTTAATTGAAATGAGGCAGGAGAGGCCCGAAGAATGCCAATAAGAAAGACAGGAATGGTGTTCTCTTGTGATCTTGGTACCCATGATTTTTATAATGATATCTTGTATGTATTAATGTAAATGTAAATATATAACTTGTATGATTGACCTCTGACCTCTCAAACAAGCTTTTACCTCGAGCTCATTACTTGGTGTATATAGAATAGGATAGGTTAAATAAGTAATTAGTTACAGGTTGTTGTATTTTATGTATAGCAGTAAGAAGTGTACGTCTGTGTTATAAGTCTGTAACGTGTTTTAAGACTCCAGGAAGAATAGTGGGTATAAGTGTATACTCACTAATGGAGATCATTCAAATAAACATAAATAAACATAAACATCATGGTTCAATCCCACAACGCATAGATTCATGTATTCATGCTAATGAATGACGTTTTCATATCTAGACATCTGAGCATCTCTAAGCAGATCTTTTGGCGGCTACAAGACAGTTATCAAATTGGCAAGACAGTATCCTTGGCAGGGCAGTATCCTGTACACCATCTGAAGTTGGCTGGCAGAAAAAAAAGATGCCACTTAGGCCACACAAATTTAATTTCTTGGTTAACGGATTCACCGCTTCATTTTTTTCTGATTTGCAAATAAAAATAAAAGTTCAGAATCAACTGCAAAATGCTCATCTTTTGCCCTGAACAGTTGATAACAGTCCTTTACATCCTAGTTGTTACGACAGTTGTTCCATCTTTCAATGCAATGGTATCAATAAAAGTTCAAAATTCATTGTTTAAATTTTGAACCAGCCTGGTGTGTTGACTTTATGGCTCCTATCGTACCATTTTGGGCCATAAGAGGATGCCTAGGGCTGTTTTTATTTTTATTTATTTTTCGCCCGCCCGCTCCATTATTTTTCTAGAAAAATCCGTTAACCAAGAAATTAAATTGGTGTGGCCTTAGTCTACATTGTCAAAAAGGGAAGCCTGATAAAAATGAACAAAAGCCTAAATCTTTGCTTGCATAGTAGCCTGAACATGCAGGATGTGAAATGTTTCTTATGCATGAAATTGTCCCAGTGATAAACAAGTGCTCTACTTAGTTCAGCTCCTTATTACACATTAGCTCATTCCTGCATCTCGGCTTTTCCACCACCTTTAAGGGTAGGCACAGTACGAGATCCATCTCCCTGCTGTCAAGTCTGAACTTTAAGGTCTTTATGAAAAGAGCATCTTATGTTTGGAATTATAGAGCTGCATTCATCACGGCCACTTCTGACCTCCTTTACTGTCTTCCACATCACATTAATGCTTCATCACGCAAACCGCACGGTTTCTCCATTCTGCGGAAAGAACGCTGTAATCAGTTAATGCTGTCTCTCCCCTCGACGCTCACAAATCTTCAACATTCCGGGTTTTCAAAGAGTTCTAGATGAAAGATATACTGTAATTCCTGATTTCTTCACTGTACTGTTATGTTCACTGTTTTAACTGTCACTTCTGTACTGTGAACTTATCATTACAGTTAAGAAATAATTCCTGGACTTTCTTTTTCCTCCACCTGCCACCACCGTGAATATGTAGTTTCGTGAACATGTCCACT